TGCCAGCCCTGTGACAGGCTGTCAACCTCTCCAGGGTGTACCCCACCTCGCGCGCACACGGACTTACAGGTGCAGCCTCACCCCCGGGAACATGGCGACCGCGGTGACGTGTCGCCTTTTACTTATGCAGTGGCAGAGCGTGACGTCGGCGCTGCCAGCGTGGAATGCGTCAGTCCAGGAAGTAAACTGTCTGTGTCTACCTGCGGAAAACAAAAAGGTGAGAGCAGTAAATGCGTGTCAAATTCAACATTTGATCGCGCATTTTCCAAGCCTTCTGAAAGGACACCGTAACGTGCCCAGCCACAGTAGACACGGCTAGTTTGTCGTTGTGTGCAGTGAAGGTAAGTGCAGTGACAGAGCACGGTCATCTGTGTGTCTGTCACTAGCTAGCCCTCTGCTCTTTCCTGCTTCTGTAAGTTATAATCTGCCGGTTGTAGTGAACCGTGTATTTTTCAGCTTTCCCGTCATCAGTAATGTGTCTGCTGAAGGAAAGATAGCCAATTATGTGGGCTTCTGTCTGATTAGGAGTAGAAAAAAAACTTGGACTGCGGGTCATTAACAGGATCCTCCTCCATAAAGTGCTTCCTACATAGCCTAGCCTAGCCTACATGAAGATATGCAGTCAACGCATGTCAGCACGCATTACTGCAATTAATGTCAGATATCTGATAGCATACTTAACCCTTCATGCATTTTAGTTTTGGTACATTGCAATATCTATCATAATAATAAAATAAATAACAATACAAATTTATTTGTATACAACGTCTGAAAAACAGATTTGTAAACAAAGTGGAAGATGAAATGGTAATTAAACAGTGATGAAATAAATACTGTTTATGTAATACATATATATATACATACATATGAGTGGTGTGTGTGTCGTCCCTGAGGTTGAGGGTCCTCTAGGACTTTGATGCTTCAGCGCAGTAAGTTTAAATGATTTGTTTTTCCCATCACAGTTATTGATAAATAAAAACTACTGAATTGCTATTATATTGAATTACTGAGAGAAATTAGATTTGAACTCTTGTGTGGTAGTTCATAATATAATTGTGCTCTTATTTTGGTTCTGTATTTTACTATCTCAACTTGTATTTTCTTCTTTTAGAGCCCTCATTACAATCAAATGTCACAGTTTTCTGAACTTAGAGAAAATTGTCAAAAACGTAACTGTGCAGAAAGTACTCGATTCATTCATTTTATGTTAAGGTTATAATAATGTATGGTGGTAACTTGTATTAGTATGGAATCTGAACATTTTGCATTACACATTTTCTCCCAGGTTTTAATTACTGTCCCCCCCAACGCTCCACCGCTGCTTCCCCCACATAGACTGGTGAATTTGCTGTATAAGGATGAGATGCAGGAGAAGAGATGTAGCAGTTTGTTTGAGCCCCATCCAGCCATTACATAGCAATACTGTATAAAAGAGATATTAGTCAAATGTGCAAATGTATTTACAGTCTGGCTGAGAGTGAACATGTCAAAGTGTCCTTGAGCAAGACGCTGAACCCCAAGTTGCTTTCAGTGGCTGTCTCATCAGTGTGTGAGTGTGGTGTGAGTGGCTGTATGGTGGCTTACTGCCATCAAGTGTGAGATTGTGTGTGAATGGGCAAATACAGTGCAAAGTGCTTTGAGTTTGCAGGATACGTAGAAAAACGCTATATAGGTTTAAGGCCATTCATTATGTAAATTTTGTGTTGTACACAGTCTTGCAGCCTTTATAATGATTCTCTTTAATTCTATCCTAGCACACATACACATTTAGAGGATGGTGGACTCCGCACTGGATCAAGTGGACAAAAATCTCACTGAAGCCATGAGGATTCTAGGAGACGAGCAGAGGTAAGTTTAGAAACTGTTGTTATTCTTGGAATTAAAAAGGCAAATCATCAAATCAAAACAAAATGTTACACTAATAACTTTGTAATGTTCCTATGACTTCAGTGAAGGTGAGGGGATTCATAGGTCTTTGACTTACACTTCTTTTTCAGACACTTTGATTATTTTGTCTATGTTACTTAAATGACTCTCCCTCCCATAATATTAGTCAGTCTTTTCACAAAAAAAGTTCCACCAAGCAAACAAGCCAAAGATGTTAGGTTGAATTGTCGGCTCGGGGCACATGAATGCAACATTAAATAATATACCAAACTGGTGCATCTTTAGATCTGTGTGTTTGTGGTGTGTATTTGTTTAGAGAGCTGGAGACAGGACCAGGGAGTCAGCATGTCAGCAGAACCAACATTCCTGGACCCCTGGAGGGGCAGTAAGACAGACAAACACGCACACGCACACATATTTACTGTCAGTTCAGGTTGACAGATGTATTTTTTTGACATAGGACAATTTGTCAGTAGTTTCCAACTTGGAGTAACATTATGTATGAACTGTGGTAATGAGTTTGAAGTTTCTCGTTTTTTGAGAAAAGCCAAGGAGCTGAAGATAATAATTTGTTTCTGTCTCTCCTGTACAGTGGTCAGGATATTACCACTATGCTGCGCTTAGTTCACAGCCTCATTGATGAAGAAGAGGAGGAAGGGGAAAAGCCCAGCATATAGTAAGTAGAATTAATCAGTGAAATAAATTAGTTTACATACGTAAGCATACTAATGTCAGCAGCTTGCACTTTGACTGTTGAAGTTGTACCATTGAATTAATTGGGGAAGTTTTTAATAAGTTAAAAGAAATCCTTTGTAACAAAGAGTTAAGCTGATGTCATTTCTGTTGTTTGTGCTGATATTAGTACTTGGTGTGAAGTTATAATTCCATCACTCCTGATGATGAAAAACACATTTTTGTAGAATACATCCCTGGTCCCTATCTAGTTGTAGACTGTCTATAAGAGACTAAGCTGCTTCTATAAAACCCAGAGGGCCTGGTTGCTAGATGAGCTGTGATATCAGTTGTGAATTAAAACTAGTATAGTTTTCCTTTACCTTAGCATCTGACTTATCAAAGAATAGGTACATTTCCATAGCATTGGGTAAGGAATTAAGGAGATCAGCTCTCCATATACAGTTCATGATAAAGCTGCCGTTTGGTATCTCCAGTAGGATGCACAATGTAGGTGAACAGGGTCATATTGCGTTGCTGGGACACAGCCTGGCAGCCTACATGTCAGAGTTGGACAGAGAGCGACTGCGGAAGCTGACCACTCGGATCGTGTCTGACACCACGCTGTGGCTCTGCAGGCTGTTTAGGTACGTATATGGCTGCTAGCAGGAGCACAGTAGCTTCTTACTATCTCAGCTATCATGGGTATTAGTTTATTGTCCTTTTGGAAATTCCTTTTGCATCTGTGGAAGATGTCAAACAAATACATTACACATGAACACAAACATAGTCTACACAACACATACAGACATCACACAATAAGCCATCATCAGTTGGCGGTTTATCAGGTACAGCTTCCTAATTCAACAGTCTGACAATAAAATCTTTCTTCATGGAGGTGACAATGTTCTCACTGTAACTGCATTAGACTAAATATTTTCACATTTCTGATTTAAAAAAAAATCAGTTTCAATTAATCAAAATTAAAATGGGTGAAAAATAAATGTTATCAGTAAAGTTTGATTTATAGTTCTGCATTGAATCTAGTGAAAGCCTATGCTGTAGACTACGCAAGTGTCCTACGCCATTGTGAGCGTTTATCCTTGTATGCTGGTGTGTTTGTGTCACCCTGCAATTACACTGCCAAAAAATGAGTTTGCAATGGTGTTTCTATACTGCTGTGTTGTATTTCTTCGCCACTTGCTAACAATGCTGATTAAAACTGAGTGGGTCATGCTGGAGTTAAAACCTCTATTGAAATTACTGCAAAGCAGATGAGAGGCATCGGAGGAGATGGTCTGTACAATTGAACCAAATGAGGAAGAACAAAGGGGATTTTCCGTGCTTGTCTGGCCACTGAGAGACATGAATGAGAAAATGCAACGCAACCAATCACAGGTGTTGTCTGTGTTGCTGTGATGTGCAGTTACACTTCTGGAGAATGGAATGCCAAAAGGTTCACATTGTGTCTGCTTAGTGACTAACCACCTGTGTCAATGCTGCAAAAAGCAGCGTCAAATATGCAGCTCTAACATAAATTGACAGCGTTCTACCTTGTGACGCCATGAGGAGCAGAATTGTTAGCAACTGGAAAAGCTAGAACCTTAGTAAATATCCCCCCGAATGCTGAGTTTGGGTGAAAACCATATTTTCTCAGATTCTGTAATTTGACCATTTATTATGTTTGTAATAACTTTGAGCAACTCCATAGATAGGTGGGGCTTGTCTAGTGTTGCTTTCTGCTTTCAGTACTCTGTCTTTAGACTTGTCTCATCCGTACCGATCTAATTTGTCTCTCAGGTATGAGAACGGTTCAGCCTACTTTCATGAGGATAGCAGGGATGGCCTAGTAAAAGTGTGTCGACTGGTCATCAATGCCCGCTATGAAGAATATGCCTCTGAGGGCTATGTAGTCCTAAGTTCCAAACAGCCAGTCATCTACCAGAGTGCCTCCAGCAGGCCAGGTCTGGGACAGCATCTGTGCAGCCAGGTAAGAGGGGTGGAAGACACACAAACACACACATAAATCATGAAGATTAAAGCTCCTGTGTGTGAAATATTAATGTGAGTATTCCTCAAGTGACGGTAAACCAGAGCTCTTGTGTACCATTTACTCTTGAATTTCAACAAATGTAAAATTATCCTTTGGGTAACTAGGAATTGTATAGGTATTGGCAGCCCAACTAGTGTATATGACCACATAAAATGTAAGACTGAGACTAATGTTCAGTATTGCATATTGTATGTCATCCAATTACACATATAATAGAAACTGATTTTAATATCACTCTGTCACTAGCTCGGCCTGCCTCTTTCTAGTTTGTGCACAGTCCCATGCAACACCATCTTTGGATCCCAACACCAAATGGTAAGAGAATACAGATGACAAACATGCGAAATTATCAGATAGTTAAAATCAAAATGTTTTTGACTCATAGCTAGTTTGTCATTGTCAGGATGTTGCCCTGTTGGACAAACTAATCAAAGAGGACATAGAAGCTGGGAAGCTCCCTTTGCTGCTGATTGCCCATGCAGGTGAAGAACAATCACCTTTCAAACTTTGCATTTCACTTTGCATTGTGCATGTGGTAATTACAGGAGTTAAATGAGGAGTTTTTTTCCTGCAGTTTAAACACATTAATTTAGACTTCAACAGGGAAAATTATATGTTGTCCCCCTCCCAGGTACCCCTGGAGCAGGCCATACAGACAAGTTGGGTCGTCTGAAGGACCTGTGTAATCAGTATAAGATGTGGCTTCACGTGGAGGGGTGGGTAAAATCTGTTAACATCTACAATAGAAAATCTTTTGGGAAGATTTTTATTACATTTTGCTTGTTGCTTGCTTAGCTTCTGAAGCACATCAACCTCAAATCTGCCTCTGTCCAAAATGCAAAAATATAGCACCTGCTGATTAACACATTGTATCTTTTTTGTTTACTCTGTACACAAATCGAAGGGTCAAAAGGACAGAATATTGTTTAATAGGGAGTCACAGTGCATGCTAGTTGCCGTGAGGTTGTCAGACAACTATCTATCCCTTGGCAAGAAAGTGGACTGCCTTGAAAATGAGATGTTTCATCTCAAGGGGTTTATCCTCATAAAAAAAGAAAGTAATATCATATCATAATATATGTAGTGAAGACTTAAAAGAATTTAATTAAAGCTATTAATTTTGTTTAATTTGAATAAACCCCTGTCAGGCATTCTTGAGATATTGTTTTTGAGAATGAGGTGGATGTGAGGTCACTGACCTTGACCTTTGTCCATTGATCACAAAAATCTCATCAGTTCATCCTTGAGTCCAAGTAGGCATGTGTGCCAAATTTGAATAGTCCCTAGAGGCGTTCCTGAGATATTGCATTCACAAGAATTGAACTATGTTCTTGGGTTGCACATCCTATTCTCGTGGTTGCAATATCCCAGGAAGGATGAGGTTTTGTTGGTCAAAGGTCACTGTGCCCCTATGTCCATCCCATTCCCCTGTACATGACTGGTTGGCAGAGGCATTTAACTACAAGACGGTAATTAGTTATTATTGCCTTAAAGCTTCCCAAAGGTGACCAGATAGCACAGAGTATGAATTGTACTCCGGGATTCCATTAATCTCTGCTTATAGTAATAATGTCAGAACATGAATGTAAAATATTCTGTGAATTAGCTTTTGTAATATTTATTACTGTAGTTTTTTTAGGCATGAGTCTGGCAACTGAAGTGTCACCACTACTTTAATGTTTATTTCTTATGCTATCATGTTTTCTTCTTCAGGGTCAACCTGGCAACCCTGGCACTGGGTCAGAGCACTTCTGCTGCTATCACGGTAATCTCAAATTAAAATGCTCTTGTCCACTTATCTTTTTTCCTTAAATGAACTAGTCACAACTGGTAGAGGTATGTAAAAGGCTTTTTTGAATGGGTCACAGGTTGAAACGATTGAGAAACGCCGTCTTAGATTACTCTAAATTGTATTACTTTATAGTACGTTTTGTGTAATAATAATAATAACATTATTAAAAATAATCATAAATAAAAGAGGCAGACGTTTAGAGGATTTGATACAAACACATGCAAAATAATTTACAACCCCAATTCCAAGGTAGTTGGGATGTTATGTAAATTGTAAATGAAAACTGAATGAAATGAAATCAATTTAAGCTTAGATTTAATTGAAAATAGTACAAAGACAACATATCAAATGTTGTAAAAGCAGTCTGCTCATTTTAATCATGCCAGCAACACATTTCGGAAGTGAAGTGACCAGTTGTTTGTTTTGAAAGCAGAATGTTTTTTTGTTTCTGCTTGATATAGGATTTCAGCTGCTCAACAGTTTGGGGTCCGCCTTTGTCATATTTCTCACTTCATAATGCACCAAATATTTTCAATGGGTGACAGGTCTGGACTGCAGGGAGGCCAGTTTAGCACTTGGACTCTTGTTATGGAGCCATGCTGTTGTTATACGTGCAGAATGTGGTTTGGTGTTGTCTTGCTGAAATAAACAAGGCCTTCACTGAAAAACGTCATCATCTGTACAGCAGCACATCTTGTTCTGGAACCTGTATATACAGTATAATTCAAAATTCTTGTCTATGCACATTCAACGTGTGTTTTTTTCCCCAAATTTACCATTAAGTCCCACCAAGTAGTGGAAACATTATTCCCCTTCAAGTAGCATAAAGGTTGGTAAATCCATCTGGTGGTCGCTGTGTCTTCCCCCACACGACCACATACTGTCCCAAATTAGTAAAATTAATTCCAACAGGTAGGATAGCACTGACAATAACATCATGGGTCCTTAATGCGCTTGTTAACCCACATCACATCACATACAGCAGACACACTGGCCTCAAGCAGTCAAAACAAACAGGTACTGTGCTCCAGGGGAATCCAGTGTTGATGAGCTGATCATTCACTGCCGTGGGGGGCTTCACTGGCCAGCTGATCATAGGTTAGATGTGGTCAGTTAAAACAGTGAGTCCCTGTACATGACCATTCCCAGACATGCAGTAACCTCAGGCCCTGTATTTTTCTCCACATCCTCTGGTCACAGTGCAGCAGCATACTAGAACATACATACACCTCATTTTTTGAGCTTTAGGTCACATATAAGATTATTCACCATTGTAAACTGAACATTAGATATCTTGATTTTATACTGTTACCAACTGAGTATGGGTTAAAATGAGTTTTCAAAGCATGTCATTCTGTGTTTATTTACAGTTTGCACAGCACCCCAACTTTTTTGCAGCTGGGGTTGTAACAACGTCAAATTAGCAGAAGGCTGCAGCACTGGTTTAAATGATCAGAAATTAAATACGTGGTCTTTTCTTCTAAGATCATAATATTAACATTATCATCTTTTTATCACAAAAACATCTGTCTTAAAACAACAGTAAACACCGTGAATGAGCCAATTTTAAGTTGCTGAGATGATTCTTATCAAGTCAGATCAACCTAGAAAAATATTTTTTCCGCATTGTTTTTTTTCTTGCAGTGTCAAAAACATAAACAAACCAATAATTAGTGTTGACTAATAAATGATTGAATTAGTAAAAAATGTATGGTGGTCATGGTGGACAGTCTGACAAGCGTGTTAATTCAGTCGCCAATGCAGTATTTGAGAAAACTGGGAACGTTCCACTTGTTTTTAATCATTATGTTCCAACCACAGTGACATTGCTCCCTCTGTGGATCAGATGCTAAAAAATCACACGAGCATTTTGGATCCTCCTGTAACATTTCTTCGATATTTTCGATAAAACTATAACAGACCATTTGTATTGTGGGGGACCCAAACCTGTTACTTTTACAAATGTATGTAGCCAAAAATGCTCTTTTCCATGCTTGAACACTCTTAAAATCACATCTGCTCAGTGTAAAAACCTAGGAGAGAGAGAGAGAGTTGGTGGATGTGAAAAACAGCCATCTAGTATTAAACCTCATGTTTTTGATGACAGAA